AACGCCTGAGACCGTTATCTGTTAAGGGAAATTAGATCATGATAGATGAATCGAGAAAGGGTCAGAATGAAAGTTAAGTCAAAGCACTAGGCTCATATACTCTAGTTTGAATATGAAAGATAGGTTCATCATGGAGTCATCAAAAACGTACTCTCACCTCCTGATAAAGGTAATAATCGGTAGTATCAGTGGCTGTTGATTAAATTTACTTGAAGCCCTTCATTTTTTAATGCAGATCCTGGGTGTTTGAGCGACGAATGGACGAGGTAAAAACGCTCGAATAGGTTGGTGGCCAAACAGTGAACAAAGGAAGATTGTCATTTACGAAGACCACTTCACCGCAAGATAGAGCCGGCTTAATTCGGGGGATATCCTCTGTAATAAAGCCACTTGGTTTAATAGTCAATGAAAGGCTATTTCATGCTACTTCCCGCATGTTGCAAAGCCGGCGTTTTCTCCTGAAGCTCAAGTCACTTTCGATTCTACATTGTGAGTGGGTCTTCTCTCGTTTCCAGACAGGATTAGCTAACTATCTCCCTTTTGTTCTCATATAGCATCCACTCCTTCTTCGAATCTTCCAAATTTACCTAATGAGCTACTTATCCTAATTGTCTCGTTCATTGACGAGACAAGGGACCTTTGCGCACTATGTCTAACGTCAAATATGCTGCGCTCTATTGTAGAATATTCACTACCTCCATCCCCCTCCGGAGCGGGAGACGGGTCCCCCTTTGCAGAACTTTACTACAGCGGCGATTTGAAAGTATCGTAACAGATTTGGACATCACCCTGGGGAAGTGGAAAAGCTGTTCCCGATGGGATGCTCCAATCTCCCGACACCTTCGTGGGCGTTGCACCTGCGACGCCGTAGACAAGGAATGGGGACGAGCTATCGTTTCTTTAACTCAGCTCCTGTCACTCCAGTTCACATGTTATTTGTGCTATGACTCACGAGTGGATACGAGGCACCGCTATCTTCAAAACCTGAGAACGAAGAATTTCAAAAGATCACCTTATAGCTGCTTTTGCTCAATAAGTGACGGTAAAAGGGAGTTGGCTATCTTGGCTGCTCCATATATGCGCTCAGTAACTATTCTGGACTAGCGCTGTGATTTTTGGGTCCAAGTTTGGCGACCAGAATTCGACGCCTTCCTCGATAACCCAGATATACTTCCAAATCTCCGATGGCTGAATTACGACAATACGCGCTTCAGTGTACTGTTAGTTCTCAAGCGACATATTATCCGCCTCAGTACACGATGGCCACCTGGCAAAATACTACTCCGATATGCTCTCCTAGCCGAGTTTCCCGGTAGACTGACACATTTGAGCGATCACGATCAAGGCTCGGATGTGTTCCGCGTCTCCATCATCCGCGAACTGGGGCCTTTCGTAATTTACAACACTTCGGGAAGTTGGAATTTCGCCAAGTAGCGCCGGTAAGCAACTAGCTTCTTCAGGTTTGGTTTCCGAATTGACCCTTGTCATCAGTCAGATGAGGTGATGCACACCTTTCTGCAGCTGACTTCATTGACATCTTTGATCTCAGTTGATGCGGTATACCTCGTTGGTACTGCACCAGAGATCTTTAACCCTTTCTTCACGGATATACTGACATCCATCTCAGATGCCTTACCCAATTTACGAAGAGTTTTTATTCAAGACTTTAATCATGGAATTTGGATTCTTTCAGATACCTGGCAAAGAGTGCAAGACCTCCCTTTATCTGCGCCAATTAACTTTCTGAAAGAATGGCGATTTCCTGGAGAAAGGAAGTTAGCTTAATCATAGACTAGAATGAAGAATTAACCATTCTTCTCTATCTTGTTGTATGCCTAGCAATATCATTCTCCGCTGCGCTGTTTTGTTGGAGGTGATATGGAATGAACTGGTATACCCTTCGTATTTTCATATAGCTATGCACTGAATCTTTTGGTTATGATCAGTCTCACATCACGCCTACGGAAGGATCCTTCCTGTCGCAGGTTAATTCCACTCAGGTTTAAATGTATGTAATTGATGGTATTGGATACATGTACGTAAGTGAACAAATGACTAGATACTTTTGCTGTGGCATGGACAGAAAACCAGACCCTAAGTCAATGGACCAGGCCCGCGTTTATTTACAATAAAGGTCGATGAGCGTCGATATGAGGCTTATCGTACAGTTCTATTTGATGATTAAAAGAATAAGAACAAGGTGTAAACCATCACTGGTATTACATTGCGACGGCATCAACCTTTTATTCCACTATCCTTCAATTCCGCAGTAGCGAATTGTTCATAATCGGGAGGTGGACTCCGTGTTGGTGGTATAGGTGCATCTTGAGAGTACGACAAGCCGGGTAAAGTAGCAGTGGCTGGTCGAGCACTCTCACGGTCATTTGGAGGCGCAACGGTTCGCCTGCTTGTCGAAAAGAACCCATCTCCAGCTCGTATTTCTGTGGTAGATGGTCGTCTTCCACCAGAACTGGAGGGTCGTGATCGTGTAGATCTACCACCAGTGAAGTCGAGCGCTCGATTAATGCTTGGATTTCGAGAGATTGTCTCACCTGGATCTTGGTTGCCGGATGGCCCAGGTTCCATAGCTGTGTCCCTAGCACGGCCATGAGAAGTGCTTGGTCTTCTTCTGGTGAAGAACCCATCTCCAGCACGGGAATGACCATTGGACGTAGTTGGGGCCGTCCGGATACCAGTGCTATTGTTTGCATGTCCATCTACAGATGGACGTCCAACCCCTCGGCGAGATCCGACACCTCTGATTGGGAATGCAAATGGTGGAGTAGGGAAAGGATTTGTATCTGGCCCTTGAGGAGATGAAGGGGTGGAATGTGAATTACGATGGGACTGTCGTCGTTGTACTGCGATCG